GCAGCTGCCTGCAGGAGGGGCAGCGCTATCGCGATAAGGACGTGTGGAAGCCGGAGCCCTGCCGCATCTGTGTGTGTGACACGGGGACTGTCCTCTGCGACGACATCATCTGCGAGGAGCTGCGGGACTGTCCCAGCCCCGAAATCCCCTTCGGAGAGTGCTGCCCCATATGCCCCACTGACCAGCCCAGCGGTTGTAATTTATTTATTTACCCCACCTTTTTAATTAATAAATAAATTACGTGGCCCATGGATGGGAGTTTTTAGGGGGAGGACATCCATGGGGACCATCCCACCCCCAATGTCCCCTTCAGAGGGGGACAAAGTCCCAGCCCTAAAGTCCCCGATGTCCCCTTGACCAGCCCAGGGCTTGTAATTTATTTATTTACCGCTATCGCGATAAGGACGTGTGGAAGCCGGAGCCCTGCCGCATCTGTGTGTGTGACACGGGGACTGTCCTCTGCGACGACATCATCTGCGAGGAGCTGCGGGACTGTCCCAGCCCCGAAATCCCCTTCGGAGAGTGCTGCCCCATATGCCCCACTGACCAGCCCAGCGGTTGTAATTTATTTATTTACCCCACCTTTTTAATTAATAAATAAATTACGTGGCCCATGGATGGGAGTTTTTAGGGGGAGGACATCCATGGGGACCATCCCACCCCCAATGTCCCCTTCAGAGGGGGACAAAGTCCCAGCCCTAAAGTCCCCGATGTCCCCTTGACCAGCCCAGGGCTTGTAATTTATTTATTTACCCTCCCTTTTTAATTAATAAATAAATTACTCAGCCCATGGATGGGATATTTTTAGAGGGGGAACACCCATGGGGACCCATGCAACCATCCCACCCCCAATGTCCCCTTCGGAAGGGACTGCCCCATATGCCCCACTGACCAGCCCAGCGGTTGTAATTTATTTATTTACGCCACCTTTTTTAATTAATAAATAAATTACTCAGCCCATGGATGGGATTTTTTTTAGAGGGAGAACATCCATGGCGACCCATGGAACCATCTCACCCCCAATGTCCCCTTTGGAGGGGGCCAAAGTCCCAGCCCCAAAGTCCCCGATGTCCCCATGGCCAGCCCAGGGCCTGTAATTTATTTATTTACCCCCCCTTTTTGATTAATAAATAAATTACTCAGCCCATGGATGGGAGTTTTTAGGGGGGGACACATCCATGAGGAGCCATGGAACCATCCCACCCCCGATGTCCCCTTCAGAGGGGGACAAAGTCCCAGCTCCGAAGTCCCTGATGTCCCCCTGATGAGTCCAGGGCTTGTAATTTATTTATTTACCCTCCCTTTTTAATTAATAAATAAATTACTCAGCCCATGGATGGGATATTTTTAGAGGGGGAACACCCATGGGGACCCATGGAACCATCCTACCCCCAATGTCCCCTTTGGAAGGGACTGCCCCATATGCCCCACTGACCAGCCCAGCAGCTGTAATTTATTTATTTACACCCCCCTTTTTAATTAATAAATAAATTACTCAGCCCATGGATGGGATTTTTTTAGAGGGAGACATCCATGGAACCATCCCACCCCCAATGTCCCCTTTGGAGGGGGACAAAGTCCCAGCCCCGAAGTCCCCAATGTCCCCCTGACCAGCCCAGGGCCTGTAATTTATTTATTTACCCCACCTTTTTTAATTAATAAATAAATTACTCAGCCCATGGATGGGAGTTTTTAGGGGGGGGACATCCATGGGGACCATCCCACCCCAATGTCCCCTTCAGAGGGGCCAAAATCCCAGCCCCAAAGTCCCCGATGTCCCCATGGCCAGCCCAGGGCTTGTAATTTATTTATTTCCCCTCCTCCTTTTTTAATTAATAAATAAATTACTCAGCCCATGGATAGGATTTTTTCGAGGGGGTGACACATCCATGGAGAGCCACGGGACAACGCCCCCTCCACCCCACCCAGCCCAGGACTTGTAATTTATTTATTCCCCCCATTTTTATTAATAAATAAATAAATTACATGGCCCACAGATGGGCTTTTTTTGGTGGGGGGACACACATCTACGGGGAGCCCCAGGGAAAAGGCAACTTTTTTAACTTGGGGGGGGGGTAAAAAAAAAAATCATTATGGGGTGGAAAAGAATCCTTCTTTTTTTTTTTTACCCCAAACTACAGCTTCGGAGCCTGGAGGGTTTTGGGGTGTTTTTTATCAAATTCCTCCAAAGCTGGGGTGGATTTGGGGTGTGGGGAGAGGATGATGGGGGGGGGACACCTTGGCCTTGCCCCCCCCCTTTCTGAGCATCCAGTAAAAGGGATATTCAAAGGGTGTTTCCATCCCCAAACGGGTGATAATTCACCTGGAATGATGAAAAAATGCGCCCCCCCCGTGCCCCCCCCCCTCCAGGAAGGGCTGTGACCCCAATTCC